GCTAACAAGTAAAAAAAGCTGTAGGTTCGGCCGGGCCGAACTTTGAATACCCTCCACCATTTGGAACGAATTTGGCAATTCTCAAAAAAAATAAAATCCGTTAAAAATTCTGTTGAAATGTTAAAAATACCAAATGTAGCCGTCATATTAGGGTCTAAACGACGATGTGGACCTGCATAGGAAACTTTTGTCATAAGCCATTATTATATTCAAATGCGAAACTTGAAAAAAAAATTCGGCGAATAATGTAGCTAAAATCATCAATATAGGGAGGTACCATTGCAAGGGGGCTATACGAAGACGTAGACCTGCACGAACATTTTTTGTCTTAGGCTGTGGACCTATATGACCCATTTTCAATACCAAAAGTCCTGCAGGTATGCTATACATTTGAGTAAAATGTTATCAGTCTACTTCATTTCGATCGGAAGCTAGAGTAATTTCCACAGACGCTAAATCGACATAGAATTTTATGCTGATCAAGAACACTTAGTGAGGTATAAAATGTAGATTTCGAGGTGTTACAAACGGAATGACAAACTTAATATACCCTCCATACTATGGTGGAGGGTATAAAAATTGGTCATACAGACCCACGTCTTCGACCCACCCTCATATAACTATAGCTGTGATTGTTTGAAAAATAATTTTTAAACATCTACAGTTCATCAAGTAATGTTGTTTATGGTTGATATAGACAGTTAAAAATATTGTGTAAAATTCGCGATTATACCTGTGAACATTCATCCAAAAATTGTTTAACGATAGACGATTATTTATGCGATAGTATATCAACAAAATTTCTTAAAATGATTACTTCCATAAAAAATATTATAAATAATCTATTATTATAACCCTCCAAAAATATTAGCAACATTAATAGCTATTATTATTTCTCTATTTTTTTATCCACAATTATGTGATATGTCCGCAAAATTATATAAATAATATATATAGTTTTTATGATAGGCCCTCAAAAAATATTTCTATCACGGTTATACCTCGAGTATAATCTCTCAAGATTTTTTTTTTAAATCCACAATTATAGGTGTGATATTCACTAAAAAATAAATAGCCTTGAATATGGCTGTGGTACTTCATCCAAGATTGTTGTTAAAACTTTCACGAGTGAAACCGAGACAGTCCAACTCGATTATTATAGAAAATGTACAATTACAAACTTGTTTGTCCATCACAATATTGCTAAAAGAATCAACGGTTGTGACTAGTAGTAATAGTTAAAAGTTTGTGATGAAATTGTCAATATACAGATCTCAGCTTTAATTGATTTGTACGCAATATCCCATGTTCAGAAACCCTCCTTCAAACTATCTGCCTTCAATCACGTACATATATTCTTGGCATATTTTATATTAATCCTTTTACAAAGACAATTTCTTGCTTAGCTATACTGCTTCGGAATGTCTTCTAACCTGTTTTGCTTCTGTTTTGTAGTTTTATTTCTTGCTAACATAATATGTATGTATATTTCTACCCATATATATTTTTTTTCTTCTTTTTTAAAACTTTGTGTATTCGTTCTTTTGCATAGGTACCATTCAAGGCTGAATTAATGGACGAAATACGTTTTGTTATGAAATGCTCCGGCAATACGAAACCGGCAAAGTATCCAAAATCATCAAGCTCCAAATCATCGGCTGTCTCCAAACGTTCATCATCATCGTTGTCAGCCAACTCATTGGCAACCGATGATCAGCAACTACATAAACGTAAATCAATTAAATGACGTGTATACATACAGAGTTCAAATATTTTGGAAACGAATTGAATATTATTTAATAAAAAGTTTTTAAATCCAGTGGCTATCTATGTATATATCTAAACAAGTAAGCAAAGGCTATAGTCGTTCGACTATGTTATACCCTACAACACTACAATATGTTAGAAGCCCCCTTATGTCCAAATCCATATTGGAAGATTTCGCTTTTGAAATTAGGATTTTGACTAGGGACATTTGCCCAATATTTATGCACTCCTTCGGGCTGTTAGTTGTTTTGGCCCATTTTACAATATAATCCAATTGTTATTCAAAATGCTAGAATTCTTCCCTTTCCTTAACTTTCTTCACAGGCGTGTCGATTGACTTCCATTGTGTGTTCGGAAAAACATTTCTGTTTTTGGGTAATATGAACCCCTAAATATTTTGCAATCATCTCCAAAAGCAGGAAGGCCCTCTGTATCTCATCTATATGATTTGCTTGTCTACGATATTTGGCTATATTCGTCAACGAAATCAGCAAAAAAAGAAAAAGTATATTTCGGATATCGCCTGTGAGTAATGCTCGTATTTTTTCACACAAAATTAGTGGTCCATTCTACCCACTGTTGTTTCATTCCCGCTGCAAAAGGTTTCATTTCCACTGCAAAAGGTTCATTTCCACTGAAAAAGGTTTCAATTCCACTGCAAAAGGTTTCATTCCCGCTGCAAAAAGTTTCATGTGAATTGCAAAAGGTTTCATTTAATCTAAAAATGCTATATAAACGATATTCCGCCACCGAAGCTAGAACTTATTACGACCTGTAAATTTAAATTTTTCGACAAATCCGTAACAAAAAGTAACTAAAACCATCAAAGTACCGAATATCGGGGGGCACCGTTATATGGGGCTAAACAAAAATGTGGACCTTTATATGCAATGTTCTACCATCGGAGGTAGAACCCATAACGAACCACAAATACTATTTTTTAGACAAGTCCATGAAAAAATGTGGAGAAAATCATCAAAATATCGAATATCGGAAGTTACTGTTATATGGGTGTATACGAACACGTGTACCTTGATATTCAATGTTCTGCTACCGGAGCTAAAACCCATTGCAAACTACAAATGCCAATTTTGACCGCGGACCGATATTTATCATTTTCAATACCAACCATCCTAGACACGGTACATACTACTGTGCCAAAATTTAAAGCTCTATGTCAAAAATGTGGGCTGTATAGTGATTTCAACAGACAAACGGACATCGTTAAATCGACTTAGAACTTTATGCTGATAATGAATATATCTACTTTATGGGGTCTATGACGAATATTAAGAGATGTTACGAACGGAATGATAAATTTAATATACCCTCCTTTCCCAGGTGTAGGGTATAACAAGTAAAAAAGAAGTATGTTCGGTCGGGCCGAACTTTGAATACCCTCCGCCATTTAGAACGAATTTAAAAATTTTCGAAAAAGATAACATTCGCCAAAAATTCTGTTAACATTTTAAAAGTACCGAATATAGCCGTTATATTAGGGCCTGTACGACGTTCACCTACATAGGCATGTTTGTCACAAGCCATTACAATATTCAAATTTGAAACTTGAAATAAACGGTGAATAATGTAGCCAAAATCATTAAATACCGTTATATAAGAGCTATACAAAGACCTGAACCTGCATAGGCAATTTTTTGTCATAGACTGTAGTTCCCATTACGAACTCTAAATACGTAATTTTGGTACCGTTATATGAAAACGTGGACCTACATGACCCATTTACGAACTTAACCTGCCTACTGGCAAAATAAATATGTGTGAAAAATTTTAGCCTTCTATCTCAATTCGTTCGAAAGATAGCGTGATTACAACAGACAGACAGACAGACGGACAAGGCTAAATCGTCTTAGAATTTTACCCTGATCAAGAATATATATATATACTTTGTTAATTCCAATATTACAAAAAAGTGGGAACTTGTTCCCTCTACTTAGATTACTTTGCTAAGCACACTTTCAACAGGCCTTTACGCCTGTCTTGAAATTGAATTTAGATAGGAAGCTAAGATTTTGCACAGATCTGGCTTTTGTTTGCGGGCAGGTCAAGTTCGAAGATGGGCTATATCGGTCCCCGATATCGAATGGTGCCCATATAACGGTATTTTGATGATTTTAATCAAATTTTTCAATGGAATTGTCTTAAATTCTACACAAGGAGTTCTTTGCGGGTACTTTACTCCATGAAAGAGAATTGTCTATATAGGTCTACGATGTCGTATAGCCCCCATTTAACGGTACCCCCCAATATTCAATATTTTGATGATTTTAGCAACATTTTTCAACGGAATTGCCTGAAATTCTATACAAGGAGTTCTTTGTGAGCACTTACCCCCCTGACAGATAATTCTCTTTATAGGTTAACGATATCGTATATCCCCCATATAACGGTACCCCGATATTATTGGGTATTTTGATGATTTTAGCCATATTTTCCAATGGTATTGTCTGAAAATCCACACAAGGAGTTCTTTGTGAGCACTTTACCCCTGGAACAGAATAGCCTATATAGGTCTACGTTTTAGTATAGCACCCATATAACGCTATCCCGAGATAGTCGGTATTTCCAGGATTTTCGCAGCATTATTCACCGGAATTGCGTCAAATTTCGTTACAGCCTATGACAGAAAATTGTCTGTACAGGTTCACGTCTTCGTATAGCCCACATATCAAGGTTTTTATTTGAACTGTTTGTTCGACAGATTTTTTTAAAAATTTTTCAAATTCCTTCCGACCGGTGCAGGGTATAAAAATTTTGACCCGGCATAGCTTCTTTTTTACTTTTTAGCTCTTCTTTCATAATCTGCTGAGGTTTTCTTGTAATTGTTATTGTTTTGAACAATGTATTATTCGAATACCAAGCCCCGAAAAAACATTTTTTTCCTTATGGTTCGGCCGCGAAGCAAAACTAATTTTTACTTGCTTATAGATCACTTAGGTCATAATTTCATTGAAAAATATTTTTTTTTTTAAATTTTCTCAATATATTTAGTTTTTTTCTTATCGTAGATATTAAATAAAATTTTTTAACTCTTCTTATATATTTTAGTTTTATTTTTTAATTTATAAAAATCTCTTTAAGTGCAAAGGTTCTTTGTCATTCCTTTTCAACGTTCATTTAAAGTCGTGGGATGTTGTATTTAAGGTTTTTTATCGACCTCCACCCACCTACCACAAATACATACACAACATTTTTATGGTTTTGTATATTTTGCGCTGCGTTATTTTAAAATTTTATTTATATTTTGTTTCAAATGCTTGCCTGCTAAAATGAACATTCTGCCATAGGATGTCACATACACACCAATACACATATCTATATATATATATATATTTTATATGAAGAACGCTCCTAAAAACACACACAAGCACCTTTTACAGCTGAACGCACCTTGCCTGTGGATCCAACTGACCATGGTCGTAATATAAAACCTTTACATATCGACACTGGCATTTAATATCACAGCGGCAAGAAGTCTAAATCACTTCCAAACAAACACAAACAAAAAATCGGCAACGTCACTGCAAACATTACACCAATGTCGTCGATACCAAAACATACACACGCACACCATAACCACCTCAAGCAGTTTAATTTTTGGTGAATATTTCATCACCCCTGGAGTTAAGAAACGAAGCAAACAAAATGTGTCCTTTTTTGGGAGAAAAACAAAATCCTGTTTACAAATTTGCTGAAAAGTACACAGCACATACATACGCAAAAACGCACACACTCATACCCCCTACACAACGATATTAATGCCCATGTTATCCCTTATCCCCGTGACCCGCACAAACCTTTTTTTCTCTGATTTCCTCTTTCAGGACAAAGAAGCTGACGGAGCCGAAGAGCTGGGTATGCCCAATGTGGGTGGCATATATGTTGTCCTATTTATTGGCTGTGTTGCCGCCACTTGCTTTGGGATTTTGGAATGGATTTGCCACATTTATTCAACCTCACGCCAATACAAGGTACCAAACGATATGGACGCACTGTTTTTTTTTGCACTTTTGTGTATCACAGCTCTTGTATCTTGTTTTTTTTTTTGTATCTTTCTGTCGTCGTCGTCTCCGTTAACTTCTTCTTTGTGTGTAACATTATGACAGCGATATTAACTTCCAGCTAAAAGTGAAACTGAAATATTTACAATAATGTCCTAAAAAAACTAACTCGTAAGGCTGGGAGAATGTGTGTATTTTTTTGTAAATAAACTTTAAAAATAGAATATTTTTCGAAGAATTGAAAGAAAACACATTCTTAACTAGATATTGATAAGATACCTAATCACGTGTAAGTCTCACTAAAAATACGCTTTAAATGTCATAGCACAAAATTAAAGGATATGGGTCATTGAATACATAATTTATAAAAAAAACATGGCACTGACGGTATATAAAAATTGCAGTGAAAAAAGTTTCTATATCATTTAGAGTCCACGAGTTTTTTTTTTTTTTTTTTTTTTTTTTTTTTTTTTTTGTTAAATCGACTTTTATAGATTTGCTATACTAAAAAGTTAATAATCGCTCTATTATATTGCTCAGAAACTCAATAATAAGGGAGTAATGGTCCTTAAAAATTATATTTTTATGTATTTTTCATTTATTACAGTTATCAAGAAACCAAAAAAAAAAAAAGATGAAAGTCGGGAAGGTCCGACTACATCATATCCTATACCACTCTGGTTTTTTTTTAAATTTGAGCATATTGCAGATACTTTTTATGGAAGCCTTTTACCAATTATAGTGTGCGACAAATTTTTGCAGAAAAATACTCAGTAGATTATGAAAGTAGAGCTAACAAGTAAAAAAGCTGTAGGTTCGGCCGGGCCGAACTTTGAATACCCTCCACCATTTGGAACGAATTTGGCAATTCTCAAAAAAAAATAAAATCCGTTAAAAATTCTGTTGAAATGTTAAAAATACCAAATGTAGCCGTCATATTAGGGTCTAAACGACGATGTGGACCTGCATAGGAAACTTTTGTCATAAGCCATTATTATATTCAAATGCGAAACTT